CCCGCTGAGTAAGGGATCAACGCGTATTCAAGTATCAGTCACGAGAATGTTAGGTACAAAAAATCAACGGATAGATAAAGGAAGTCAATGATTGAAGTAATAGATTATTCGTAATAACCATGCCTATCTATCCTTTTTTTCCCGCTAGTTTTTAGCCTCAAAAGCGTAAAGTAAGAAAAATTGGTAAGTCGATTCAGCCTATATTGGTGGAAATAGCTTATCACCAAAAGATCTTTTCAAAAGTTCATGTATGCGAAGCTTGGTTCAGATCTCATAATTTTTTTTCGAAATTCTGAGCCAGTCATAACAAAACTGCTAAGCAAAAAAACGCCGGAAGCGATGAATCAGAGGTGACAATAAAGTGTTTTTGATAAGAGCTTAGTGACACCCGTCCGCCCCGAAGGTCATGTATGTGAAATTCGTTTTAGTCTAACAAATTTTTTCAAACGTTTTGGGCCAAGAAAAAGTTCTTAAGCAAAAACTGCAAAGAACCAATAAATTTGTAGAATCAAACGGTATGTTTTAAACAAAATAACTTGTGAACACCCCGCACCAATCAAACGCGTAAATGAAATGAACTCTCCCTACCCGCCCCCCCCCCCCTCTATACCTCTCTTCTAGCTATCTGGTGAGAGTGGATTAAAGTTGCTGATAAGAATTTCCCTTTGAAGTCGAATCCCAATAAAAACAATAGAAACTCGCAGCAGACTGCCGCGAAAGTTAGCCTATGTCGTTTTCCGGTGTTAGTACACACGCGGGTTTAGAATGAGTTAAAACTTCTTCTATTATTCAGCGCGCAAACATTTGCTGAGCAAAAATTGGAAGAATCAATAAATCATAGGAAAAGCCCGTGTGCGAACAAAAAGGCTTATTAACTTACGTCCCACCCCATACATTGTGTCTGCTAAATTTGGGTTCAAATTCCATAACTCCTTTTAAGCTTTTTAGACGAACATAAAATAACTTTCAAGCAGAAACCTAAAAATCAACAAATAAATAAATAGCGGCAATACGTGTGTCTTAACAAAACCCCATTATTTCCCAAATTTGGTTTAGATTTGGTGGCTCCTTCTATCCTTTTTGTGCGAACATGCAAAATTTTCTAAACAAAAACTGCAAAAAATCAATAAATTGATAGGGGCAATCCATGTGTCTTGAAAAAAAGGCTTATTAGCACACTTTCCCCCCATACATTATGTCTGCCAAATTTGGTTTAGACTCCATGACTCCTTCTACCTTGTTGATCAAAAATACAGAATTTCCTTAGCAAAAACTGCAAAAAATCAATAAATTGATAGGGACAATCCACGTGTCCCAAAAGAACTCATCCATCTAAGCCTTGATACTGGAATTTTGAGTTGTGCAAAGCTCAATATCCATCTTTTGAGCCACACATCTTGATTGCTGCGACAAACTCCGTTTGAAACCTTCCATTATGGGGCATCTGAACTATGAGAATTCTGAGAGAACTAGCGCCATCACTGTCGATCGGTCCACAGAGACACTCCACGTGGACACTGACACGGGGCTAGCACGACGCTGGTATGGCACGGGCAATATGGGTGCAACGCTGCAGCAAATGATACGCACATTTTTGAAAGCTTTAGTGAAGGTTGCTAAAGACTGTTACGGCTATCATCTTCAGCTATGGAAAGCAAATGACGGCTATTTCATTGCAAATCTCAGTTTCTTCCAACCTCTTGATAATTTGAGTCATGAGACCCCACTTGCTTTCATGAGTGACGGAGCCAGAAAATCTAAGAGTTTCAAGTCTCTTAGACCGCGTTCTATAGTAGAAGTAAGCGGCGACCATTATACAGGGTGTATCAAACGTTTAATCTTCAACAACTTGTGTATAGAAGGCTTTCGCAGTCTTCTAAACACTATATCGTGAAACCGGCTTAGCTTCTATTTACAGTATGCAGCGAATCACCGATCGGTTTTTCGTCACGTAGAATATTAGGAAATTCCAGATAGAGAGTCATAATGATATAGCCGTTCGAAACGAGCGTTTCCACCCATATTGGTTTTACCATCTAATTTTTAACGAGTCTGTACAATATCTAGTGTGTAGTCATATTTTCATAAACATTGTGAGGAAATGTCACAGTAATTTGGTAACTCATAAAAGATTGTAAAACTGCGAAAATCATTATGAGTGTCAGCGAGTTACATTAGCCCGATTAAAAGGCAGTAGCTCGGCAAAACTAAACGTGTTGAAATTTTCATAATGTAGTTTGCTTGCCTCCTATATATGAGAACAGGCCAAGTCCAAGAGGGGCGCATTTTTACCCTGCCGAGATGAATGCCTTTAAATTCATGTTCGCAAGCCATTCTTGGGCATAAGGCATACCTCCCGCGACTTCGTAAAGTCGCCACATCTCCGCGACTTGGCGATTTCCAGATGTTTACAGATTAAGCATGCGTGGCTCTCACAAGGGACTACTTGGTCACCGCGACCATTCATAATGATTTGTATATCAAAAAATGCGCCTTTTAAAGCTGGTTCGAACACTTTCTTACACATCTACGAAACGATAATCTGAATGGAGTTATGATTATTTTTCCATGAATAAACTGCGTTACTGCGGAGGATCAAAATCATCAATAAAAATTTTTCTTTTCTTTTCAAATGCTGAATATGATTTAGATAGGTATAATACAACAGTACTCCTTTTAAGATTCTCTTCAATAGCTTCAAATGGTAACTAAGGGCAAATTTGGTGATTTCAATTACACAAAAGTAAGCAAATTTTCTACGAAAAATTCATAACTTCCTTCAGAAGATCGTTTTGCAGTATCGAGCACAGGTTTGGAATCAGCATTTCGAGGTGTATCTTACAACGTACATAGCATTTCAAATGGCCACGGTGACCGAGTATCCTTTCCTTGTCAGATGCATGGGCGCATAGATTTCGTAAGTCGTACCAGATGCAGCAAGTGCCGCAATGTTGTAACCGTATGGGTCCCGTAACGACTCAACTGTCTCACTTGTCTGAATTCCAAATGGAGGGCATTGGAAAATGCTGTTTTTACCAATTTTGCGCATTCCAAGGTGGACTTTTGGGCATAGCGCATCGGATAACCCCAGGTAAGCAAGAAATTTCTAGGTTGAAGATTTGCCGAGCCACTGCCTTCAAGGATTTCTAGGTTTTTTGGTTACGTTTCCAAGCAAAAGTTTTGAAGTCTCCAAACTCTCCTCAAGTTTCTGCCGCAATAGAGTAATAAATAGCAATCTGTACTTCACTCCATACTGCAAATCCAGGTTGAGGCCAGCTCTACAAAACAGTTTCTGAAGACCCTCTATCTCTCTTTGGAAAAATCGCATAATCTGTTATTGCACCAAACACTGCAAAACCTACAGAAAGCTGGGATTTCAACACACAATTATTACTACCGCCACTGTCGTAAAGTAGATGAGCGATTTCGCTACAAATTATGAAGATTTTGAAGCGTAGATTACGTCAGTGCGCACTCCTGAAATTGAGAAATACTGCGATTTTCTTCACAAATTTCGCCTGTCTCGCAAAACAAGACAAGTGTTAGAAAGAGGAGAAAAATTTGCATCGAATGTGGCTGAAATGTTTGACATTTTATGTTCTACGGGGTTAAAATAGGCTAAATGTAAAATTAGGTTACTTCAAAAAGTAAATTGTGGAAATTCTGAAAGACAAGCCGTAGGGCTACAAAATAGCTGGAAAAAGGAAGAAATTCTGCATTGAATATTCCTTTTTGAAGCGTTTGTCTATCTTCACTTTAGCGTGTTTGCCGATAGATTGAAAAAAACTAACAAAATTTTCGGACCAACCTAATACATTTATGTTTGTTAAAAAGCTCAAAAAGCCCTTTCAAACATTTGTTGCTGGTCCAGGGACTTTGATTTACAGCAGCACATGCAACAGGCTACTTTATTTATCAGAATCAATCAAATTAATTCTTTGAGCTGAGCGGTGGGAATTTGGGGTGGAGAGGCCAGCTAAGTGAATTTTGATCAGGAAAATAATGAACATTCGAAAAATTTTCGAGCACTAGGAAATATTATAGAAGTGATCTCGATGTTGAGAGGTAATGGCCCTCCTGATCTTCTTTTGCAATCTTTCTTCTGAGAATTTCAGAAATGGCACACAGGTGTCATGTAGAGAGAATTGCAAACATGTCCATTATTCGGTCTTTTGGCAGAGGGCAAGTGTAAGTGAGGCAGAATTCCCAGATCATACTGTAATGAGCGCATCCACCAATCACGGGCAGCGGAAGAGGGCAAACGTTTCAAAGCGACGGACTCATGCTTGGCGATGCAGAGATGAGGCGCTTTTTCGCTTACTAATTTTTGAACAATTCTGGGAGAAACTTTTCCACTTATGAGGCGCAATCAATTATGGTTAAAAAAGACCTCTACTCACTTTCTCTAATCTTTTTGACTACGTATCAATGTGAAACTCTAATCATGTTCGAATTTTTCTTACAAAACCTTTCTTAAGTCGTGCGCAGCATACACTACGATTGGGAAATACAGGCGGTCACCGAAATACAAAGTAAACGCTACATTTCATACAGTTTGTGCAATAAACTTTCTTTGTACACGCTAAACCCTCTAAATTGTCTCTGCAGAGACTAGACTATGTAAAAGCGCTTATTTTGAACAGCATCTTACCAAGAACTGCTATTTCAAAGTACATTCCTAAAAAAATCGGAGTGGTGAAACCTCTAGACTCAAATTCGCTCAATTCTGTCATAAGTCTAGTATGGTAACTAATTCGGATTAAGGAGGTTAGCCAGAATCAAGAGCGGAAAAATGATCTAGACCTAGCCAATCACGTTTTCGGTAGTGTTGAGTCTTCGACCTTGAAGTGAATATGGGTTTCCAAGATTTCTCGACGTTTTAGACGTGAAGTACTGCGATATTTGTTGCTGTCACTCGCAGTTGCGATTTCTACACGCTTGAAATCTGTTTATTTTGCGAGAATGCTGTCGGTATGAAACTGTATCTAATTTACAGTCTTTCACAGACCGAGTCCGCAAGTGAGTTGGACGAGGAGATTCTTCGATTTTACTATTCTTCTCTCACCCTGGCAGCTGAAAGACACAGAAGTCATTTTCGGAGAGTGATCGGTTTTCAGTACGGGCGTACCGGCACTGGTATCCTCCGCTGCACTCTTTGTTGTCCACTGGGACACATCTTCCCAGCGCCCGATCCTTGCATTGTCGACAATAATCAGCGCAGGATCTCCAGAGTACACCAGTAAAAGCCTGTTAGGTAGAACAACGTCATCTTATCTCAGTGACAAAAGAAAAAGACTTACGCTTGTTTGTGGAGTGCAGCGACTCCAATTCTCGTAGCAGTCGGCAGCCGCATAGGATGGACATGTGATTATTAGCGACAGTACGATGAAAGGAAGCAGTCCAAAGTACATACCGCCTTGCATCTTAGAGTTAAATGAGCAGCCTCCTATGCGTATTTATGCTCCGTTCGTCTTACTGCCACCGCTTCCCCACCTGTGGATGTTTTCGCGGTTAGATCTATGTGATATGGAAGCACTGTAAAAAATGTTGCATTGTTTGAAGTAAGTCATCTTTTCAGTTTTGCTATCTGCATAGCAATCGTGAACTTATGAACTTTCTATCACTCATTTGTAAAAGCCCACGGAAAGCTAGCTCATCTCGCAGACGAAGTACTTTTCAGCTCCCAGAAGAGAGTTTGCAGACAGCACTACCCCCATCGTACTGAAGTCCCCCTTACTGGTCCGCTTAGAAAGCGTAAAGTCTAGATGGAGAGAAAACATTTTCTAAACACGAATGGATTATATGAGCTGCCGCTTAGGCAATAACATCAAAGGACAGTCAGTATCCACTCAGAAAGTTTAGACATCTACATTGTGTACGTTTTCTTCAATCTCTGACTGCTTCCACGGGATATGCAACTTTATCTAAGAACAGCGGTATGAAGAGTGGAGGGAATTGCACTGCTTACGCCATTTTACTCAGACAAATGATCGGAACTTTTGCAGAGCGCATGCGGAAGTTCCGCCGGGTCACTCTTCAAATCTGAATTGAATATGTTTAAATGAGTGGAGATGTCAATCAGCAAATCGTCACGCATGTTTCTGCAAATTGCGACTTGAAGCAATTTATCAATCAACACAACTGCCACAACAACAAGATTCTTCAGTTGAGTTTATTTTGGATAATTTTCTGCACAGCTGCCCATTTTTTAGTAGTTTATGGACACTAGTTCGGATGCACCGACTTTCATAAGCAGCTTCAACCCCCGTAACTGAGCACATTTTTTTGCATTTTTTCTAGCAACTTAATGGAGGGCTTCCAATGCTGTATAATTCACATGAAAGAGAAAGAAGTATGGTAGTGCTACTCAGACAAATCACCGGAACTTTCGCAGGACAAGCCAAATATGCAGAAGTTCCGCAGGATTTTGTTCATTATTGCAAAAATGAAAACCTTGAAAATGGAAGTTCCGCGGAATTTTCGTGCCAAACTAGTTGAAAACCGGAACTTCCGCAGAACCTTGTTCAAATTCCGAAAAATGCCAGAGGTTCCGCAGCACTTTGGCCTGTCAGAACTTCCGCAGGACTTTGAATGTGATGTCTCATAATGTTGCCTCGCCAACAACTATAGTGCATTATCCAACATGTCAGCCGTAGCGTAAAAGATAATAGGTGGGTCTCACAGTCAATGGAGTGAGGTTCAAATCTCGCTTCGGTGTTCTCTTTTGCTGTTTTGGCACTTTTCGGAACTTCCGCAGGACCTCATTTCGGAACTTCTGCAGGTGACCCGGCGGAACTTCCGCATGCGCTCTGCAAAAGTTCCGATCATTTGTCTGAGTAAAATGGCGTAAGCAGTGCAATTTCCTATACTCTTCATACTGCTGTTCTTAGATAAAGTTGTATATCTGTATGTATATGTATGTATGTATATAATATGTATATAATGTATATATGTATGTATATACATGTGTATATGTACAGGGTGGGGCAAAAGTCTGGGAGCCTACTTTGCAGTGCTGTAAATCAAGAAACTACCTATGATTTTGACTCCAAATTTGTGCCACATATTGCTGCGATCATCCTCTACAAAAAACACTTTGGCTGGCTGAAAATGCTTGCTATATGTTTTTGTAGGAGTTGGGTTTATCAAACAAGTGCTCGCAAGACGAGAAAATAGAAATTTTTGTTCTTCACAACTTATTTCGTAACTAACGATACAGTGGATATTCTAAAGCACTTCGATGCGTATAATGTAGAGGAGACTTCGCGCTATCAATTCTTAGCCGTTGCGTTTGTCAGATAGTATTCTTTTGAAAACGCAAAATAAAAATTTGTGTATATGTATACTACCTGCGTGCCAGCGGCCATTTTTCTTCAAAATAAATTTTAAAGCTATAGGAGCACAGCAGGCACCGAATTCTAGGCTATATTCTTTCCATGAGTCTTCTATGCAAGCTTGACTTGAGTTCGATCGATCAAGCAAATTCAGTATTTTTTAGATTACGATTCTTCGCTCCCGTTCTCGCAATCGCAACCAGATTTCCAGTATACAAGTACACTTGCCTTCAATTAAAATTCTAGAATTTTTTTCCTAAACCTGCGAAAAAAAAATTCTTTGCAGTGCGTTGTAGCCAAAAGCTTGCTCTCTCACACCGCATATTTGCCTTGTGAAATAAACAGTTATCGTAAAGGCGTGGGACGAATTTCATCACGACTGTCTGCGTGCCACGACAGGCGGACTCGCCAAGATTTCAAAGGGCTGCTTTGAAGCCAGAAGAGGCAATCTCAAAATTTGAAAGCAGCGCTGTATTAGTAAAGGTTCGATTTATGTGTGCACCGAATTTTTTGTTCCTAGGCACTTTCCTTCTGATTTTATCTGAAAAAGTACTAGGCTCCCAGACTTTTGCCCCACCCTGTATATAATAGTTTGTGTTCAAATATGATTTCTCTCCATCTAGACTGTACGCAATCAAAACGGACCAATCAGGGACTTCAGTACGATGGAGAGTACATATTGTCTGCAAACTCTTTTCTGGGAGCTGAAAAGTACTTCGTGTGCGAAATGGGCTAGCTTTTTGGGGCTTTTACAAATGAGTGATAGAGTTCATAAGTTCACAATTGCTGTGCAGATAGCAAAACTGAGAAGATGACTCACTTCAAACAACGAAACATTTTCTACAGTGCTTCCATATCACATAGATCTAACCGCGAAAACATCCACAGGTGGGGAAGGGGTGGCGAATGGAGTATAAATACGTACGCATCTCGGGATGCTCAGTTAACTCAAAAATGCAAGTCTGTATGTTCTTTGGACTGCTTCCTTGCGTCGTACTGTCTCTAATATTCATATGTGCATCTTATGCAGCCGACCCTTTGACCACCTGTTACAACGATTGGAGTCGCTGTACCCCACAAACAAGTGTAAGTCGATTTCTTCTTACTGAGATGAGATGACATAAATTTAACGTTACAGTTTTTCACTGGTATACTTTGGAAATCCTGTCATGATTATTGCCGAAAATGTAAGGGACGGGAATGGGGAGAATGTGTCCAGGTGTACAATAAATTTTGCAGTGGAGGATACCAGTGCCAGTATGTACTCCGTTTCAAAAGGTCATTACTCTCAATAACTGACTTCTCTTTTTAGCTGCAAAGGTGGAAATATTGAGAAATCAACCCATCCTCTTGACCTAATTTCCCGCGCACTTGGACTGTGATGGACTGCAGACTGGAAACGCATCCATAATTACAGTATTTTTTCGCAAAATAAATTGAGCTAAGCGAATGGTGCAGAATTCGTGTGATTGTATGACAACAACAGATACGAGGGAGTTGCTGCTAAAGTGGCGCAAAATCGTAAATACGTATCTTAATGATCAATGAGAAGTCAACCACTTGAGATGTGATTGATTAAATCAAAATTATTTCTCCATTCTCAAAATCAAAATAGAGTACTATGTAACAGAATTAATGCGGGTTTCTTGAATTTTGAGTTTGGATTACCATAACCTTTTACACAAACATACGCTTTGGTGTAATAAAACCTGTTGTAATCAGCAAACATTCGGCAACCCAGTATGCATTATTTTGTTGTTGTAGCTTCAGAAGAATCCTATGGCCCGGACACTGTCAGCGATTTTCATGAAAAAGTTTCAATGAAAAATCATAACTTTCAAATGTAGGGAGAATTACTCATTGTAGCCTATAGTCGGTTGTGCAACGGCGCCAAATCCTATGAAAAAAATTTTTGCGAACTCATTTTTTGCGGTTTTTCTAAGGAAAATTGCTTTTTTTAGTTTTGGATTTTTTGAAGCTGAAAATGAAGAACGGTTACCGGTTTTCCAGTCATAAATGTCCTAAGTCTATTTTTCTTATATACTGCGGAAGCTCTACAATCGCTTCGCGCTGAGGACTTTTATATAGGGCAGACGGACCCCTGCGGTCAATAAATTCCATTTTTGATTTTCTCGGCTCAGAAATTTTCAGAAGTCATGAATCATACGCAATTTGTAAAGCAACTCACTCAAAAACACTATGTTTTGCAGAAAATTCCAATTTTTTATGGTGTTTTAGAGCCAATATTGAAAATTTGAAGATTTCGAATTTCACAAGCAAGAATTTTTAAACGTATTCACTCTTCCTGAAACTTAAAAATGTAAAAAAAAAATCAAAAGTAAAGAGATTTCAGATGATATGTGAAGCTCTCTAGGAGAATAGCTTGCCGTTCTAAACCAGCATTCCAAAAAGGTGTCCACACTAACGCCCACACTAGCCTAAGGGCAGGAATGGGCGCAGTTCCGGTTCAAGCCTAGAAGCTTTCAGCAATCCAATTTTTTTTAGTGTGTTCTTGATATAGCAGTTCTCTTCAAAATACAGTCTTAATTTTTTTTCCATCTGTTCAGTCTCTGCAACTAAGGAATTCAGAGGGTACAGCTCATGCAAAGAAACCATAACAAAGTAAATATAAGGGTTGCTGTTTGTCTTGTATATCGGTTATTGTCTGAGATTTCCAGTTACCGTGGCTTCGCACTCGCACACGACTTGAGAAATAAAAGTTCTGTAAAGGCAGTTCCTTCAATGATTACGGAATTTCAGTCCGAAACATTTGCTCATTTGTTTTGAAAACCAACAGGAGGCAAAAAGAGGTCTTCTTTGGCTACAAAGTGTTTGAATCATATATGTGAGAAATTATCTTACAGAACTGAAGAAGTAAGAAAGTAAAGGTTTTATTGTTGCATCGCCAAGCATTGAGTCAGTCGTTTTGAACTCTTTGCCCCTCTTCTCCTCATTATTAGATCCGCTTATGACCAGGGCTCGGCACGAGGTGGCTTCCCGGAATTGCAAAAAACGAAGTCCCCTTTGACTTCACAATGGAACTACGACATCCGCCATGAGATATTAGAAGAGAATATACATGAAAAAGA